GTATCTTCTATGTGAAACCCTATCTAGTTGTTATACACATGATTCTTATATCTCAAATGTATGAACTTTTATCAGCAGTTCAGTTAGCCTTAGTTTACCCATATGGGAAGTGTTTGCAATAGAAAGCAAAACCCAGATGATTTAACAAGGGCAGTGTCTGGTTATCTTTTGTTGAATAACAAACCACTCCAAACTTAATGGCCTAAGAGAACCGCCATTTTATTATTCTGTGGTCACAAATATGGGCAGCACACAGTGGAGATAGTTTGTCTCTCATCCACAGTGGCTGGAGCCTTGGGAAGATTAAACAGCTGAGGTGATATAGAGGGCTAGGGCTGGCACCCTCTTGAGTCTTCTTTACTGACATACCCACCATCGGTGCCAGGATGGCTTAAAAGCTGGACTCACCTAAAACTGTCCACTCGAGCGCCTACACATGGTCTCTCTGTGTTACTTCCTTCTCAGAGCATGGCAGCTGGGTTCTAAGAGAGAATATTCTAGAGAGAGAATTGTGAAGGAGGGTGTGTGGAGAGCGAGCATTCCAAGAAAACCAAGCATTAGTTGTGTGGCTATTTTGATGTGACCTTGGAAGTCACATAGTGTCACTTCCCCCATACTCAATTGGTTGAAGCCATTACAACCCACTGAGATTGAAGGCAAAGGGTAGAAGAAATTTGTGGTTGTTTTTGAAACCCCTACAGATGATACTTATTTTCTAGCCTTGGAAATACATTGCCTCTTAGAAAATTAAAGAGACCAATTCTGTCCATAAAAAGAGGACATAGAGATCCATTTTTATTAATCATGATTTTCCTGCAAGTTTGGCCCCAGTGTAACATAAGAGGAATACTTTGTTCTTCTTATAACCTCTTAAAAATAAGCAGAAAAGAAATTCCTCTATTTATCTACTAATGAAAATCTGCCAGACTTTATATAAAAGTAAGTACTATAGACTCCCCACCCTTGTCCTTCACTTGCACAGTTCTTTCCCATCCACCCCCAAATTAAAAATAAAAATAAAAATAAAAACAGATAGCTGCTGCTTTGAGTTTTTGAAATTGGTTGGAGACTTTTTATAATATTTCATTGTATGGACTTAGCATAGTTTATTTAATCAGTTCCCTAGTGATGGACATTTGGGTTGTTTACAGTCTTTTGCTTTTATAAACAATACTCCAGAAAGTGGCCTTATACAGTCTTAATTTCCCATAAGTAGGGTACTTTCTAATAAAGTAACAAGGTAATACATGCATCTGTAATTCGATGGCTACTGCTATACTATGCTCCTTAAATCAATAGCTTAAAAACTCGGTTGTGAACCTACTGGCAGTATAGTGAGTGCTTGTTTTCCCTTGGCTTTGCTATAAAGTATGGAATCAGAGTGTTTATTTTTGCCAGTCTGGTAAATGAAATATGGTAACTTTGTACATTCTCATCTTATATTTTTCTTAAGTAAGTATTCATTTGCTTAAGGGTAATCTTTCCTTTCTATGAATGTCTTCATATTCTTTGTCCATTTGAAAAATTAGAGGGGGCACCTGAGTGGCTCAGTCACTTGAACATCTAACTTCGGCTCAAGTAATGATCTTGTGGTTTGTGAGTTTGAGCCCTGTGTCAGGCTCTGTGCTGACAGCTTGGAGCCTAGAGAGTGCTTTGGATTCTCTCCTTCTCTCTGCCCCTCCCCTGCTCATACTCTGTCTGTCTGTCTCTCTCTCTCAAAAATAAATTTTAAAAAAATTGTTTAATTTGAAAAATTAGTTTATTGCTCATTTTCTTACCTACTTTTAAGGACTCTGATATTCTTGTTTTTGCTTTAGAAAAAGTTTCAGGGGATGGGGAACTACTTGATGGTAATAGATGAAAGAAGCATAAGATACTAAAAAAATGACTAGATATTAAATTAAATCAAATACCCTAAATAAGCAGTAGTTACTATAAAGTAGCAAGTACCTGTTACTACTTATTCAGTTACAGATATTGGCTCTAGCTAGTTGGTTATATCTAAAATTTTGACTGATAATAAAATCGAGAAGATTAAGGAAAAAACCTCCGTCACAAAGAAGCATTAACATTGCTACCTATTTTTTTTTTACTTTAAATGACTATAACAATTATAGGAAAATGTTTTGAAATTGTTTTAAAACTATTATCCATTATAATTCTTGAACATCATGTTTTGTTTTTTGTTTTTCCACATTACAACCCTCATTTGGACCTATATTAAATGGTGGTATCATAGTACATACTCATGTTATCATAAATATTTTTCATAATTTCTTATAATCTTACTTAAATATAAATCTGTTTTTCTATAATTATGATTTTTAATGATTGCATTAAAATGTAGTATAATTTGTAAGCCATTCCCTAATTTGGGTCATGTAGATTGTTTCCATGTTTTTGCTCTTATAAAGTAATACTGCTGAATATCTTGTTTCATTTGTATTTTTCTTCTGTTGAATCATTTCCTTAGTATCAATTCCTGAGTAGAATCATAGAATAACGAGTATGAACATTCTTAAGGATCTTTATATGTATATGTGTTTCCAAACTGTAAAAATATCTAGTGTAACCCCCAGTGAGTCAGGACCGTGGACTACATGCTGCAGAATGTGCTGGAACCACATCACCAGGACTGTAATTTTTTCTTTCCCTTTAAAGAAATAAAAATTCTTGGGGTGCCTGTGTGGCTCAGTTGGCTGAGCCTCTGACTCCTGATTTAGGCTTAGGTCATGATCTCACGGTTCATGCATTCAAGCCCTGTGACAGTGTGGAGCCTGCTTGGGATTCTCTCTCTCCCTCCTCTGCTCATTCTATAAACAAACAAACACACACACACATACTTAAAGCAATGAAAATTCTTCTTTAAGTAGATTTAAAAAGTCTGTCATGGTTATCTTAAATTTCATGTCTTTAATTAGTTACCAATCTATTTTTCAGGTCTCCTGAATCCATATGAATTATTCTAAAATATTTCCCTCACTCTTCAGCTGCTCCATTTGGCATGTGACCACTGGGTCAAGGGTTGTGCATAATGTTCATGACCCCACTGTCTGTGAGGCTGAATATCCCCCTTCCCTCCTCCTCCTCACTTGAATGTTCATTTTTATTCAGGAATAGGTGCACTCAACGAACCACTGGCTTTTCTTTCTCATACACCTTCCCTCTCGCTACTGAGCCATTCTCTTTTCATATCTTTTTCTTCTGTGACCTCATTTTGGTTATTTTAATTCATTCAGCTTTTAAACAGACCATTTGAAGAGGCTCATACTTCTGCCTCACTTCTCTTACATGTTTATACTTGTTGTTTTATTTATAAATAATGGAGGTGGGAGCACCTGGCCAGAAATAGATCCTCTCTGAAGTGTCCTATCTGGCTCAACCTTGAACCTTCTCTGTTCCCAGAATCCACTCCTAACCCTTCCATGCTACACTGCTACCCTTCTGCTATTTGAAGATGTTCCTTCAGTCTGGAATTTTCTTTTACCTTTCTCCACATTTTGGATACGTATTAGGGTTTTTTGTTTATTTGTTTGTTTGTTTGCCTGGTAACAAATTAATGTCATCCCTAATGGATTGAAACCAAATGAATTTATTATGTCATAGTTTCCTTGCATCAGAAGTCCAGGCGCAGATTGGCTAGGGCCTCTGCTCAGGGTCTTCATGGGTAGAAGCCAAGGGGTCAGCACGGCTGTGTGCTCTTCTGGGGTTCTGGTCCTCCTCTCAGCTCATTCATGCTGTTGGGAGAATTCATTTCCTTATGATTGTAGGAGTTAGGGTCCCATTTCCTGCTGACTGCCAGCGCCTCCCCCAGCTTTTAGAGGCTTGCCTCAGGTTCTAGCCACATGGCCCTCTCACTACATGTCAGCTCATTTCTCCTGGGCCAACAGGAGAGGCTCTCTGGTTTGCTCAGATGGACTCGCATATAAAGTAACCTAATCACAGGGCTGAAATCCCATCCTGTTCCCAGGGCCACCTGCACTCAAAGGGAGGGATTTACACAGGGCACGTATGACAGGAGTGAAATCTTAAGGTCATTGCAGCCTGCCCAGGATCCAGACACCCTTAATGTCTAGTTGAAATTATGTTCCTTTCATGAGCCCTTTCCATAGCTTTTCCAGTAGTATGACTTGCTCTCTTGCCTTCTTCACACAGTGGGTGTGAAGTCTTTGGTCTTAGTCTGTGTCAGGTAAGCCAAATAAACCCTTTGAGTTCATGGCATTGCCATAATGTGAACAACACACTTTACTTTTGGAATGAGTGGTACTAAATAAGCATTCCACCTTGTCTCTTGATCTCCCTGCATTACTGAGGTAGCTCTTACTAGGGTAAAAGTTGTTTTAACAAAATTGAGGGATTTTTCTGAATATTAACAGTCCATAATGGCATGCTTCCAACATACCCACCCATTTAGTAAGCTACGTAGGGACAGATGCCTCCTTTTTTTTCCTCTCGCTCTAAACATACTAGGCTAAATTTGAATCAGGGCAAACAAAGGATTACTGAAAAATTGTTTCTCAGAGGCAGGAAGCAGGGCGTAAAGTGCTTAGAATATAATAAAAAATGAAAGGCAACATTAGAGGCAGTGTGACTCCAGAGTGCCTCAGGGATGGAAGTAAGGGATGTAAGGAGCACAAGAAACGTAAGATGAGGGACTTGGGGATGTCTCCCTGTCCCTTCCCAGTGCCTTGCCCGCTAGTAGTCTCACAGCCAGTGTTACTGTTTAGTTACCCACAAGTAGGATGCACCTGCGAAGTCTTTATATATATTTTTAAATTTTTTATTTGAGAGAGAGAGAGCACACTCCAAGAAAGGAAGTGACGCAGAGGGAGAGATCTTACTCAGACTCCATGCTCAGCATGAAGCCTGATGCAGGGCTCGACCCCATAACCCTGGGACAATGACCTGAGCCGAAATCAAGAGTTGGATGCTCAGCAGACTGAGGCACCCTGTAGTCTTTATATTTTTTAAATCAGTTGTGTTTTGTTTTCCTATTGTAGCTGGTGCTCAAGATCGGATCGGTTGGGCTTTTGGCCTGGGATTGGAAAGACTAGCCATGATCCTCTATGACATCCCTGATATCCGCCTCTTCTGGAGTGAGGATGAACGTTTCCTGAAGCAGTTCCGTGTGTCAGATATCAACCAGAAGGTGAAATTTCAGGTAACATGACTTGTAAGAATCAAATATTAACAATAATAATGATTTTTAAGAATTGAAGAGTTCATGCACTTAAAACTTGTCAAAATTAAAAGTAACGTGAATTTGAAAATAAGTTTTAAATAGAGGTCCATAAACACAGGAAGAGGTTCATAAACCGTCGGAAGTTGTATACAGAAGAAAAAGACTGAGCAAAGAATGAACTTTAGGCTTTGTTAATGACCCTTTTATCATTATGAAATAGCCATCTTAAAGTTTAGTTTTTCTGTTACTAGTAGAGACACATGGCTTTCTTGTGGTTAGTATTTGCAATGTGTGTCTATTTCATCCTTTTATTTTCACTCTATGTCCTTAAAAGTGTCTCTTGAACACTGCATAGAGCTGGATCTTTTTATTTAATTGGAGTGTTGAATACATCTTACATTTACTATAATTACATGGGATATTCTTGGGCTTAATTCTACCATTTTTTATTTCTTCCCTCATTTCCCCCTTCTCTTCTTCATTTCTTTATTTGGAAACTTAGGATTTGTATTTTTTGGTTTGGTTTTTCTTACATTCCATTTTATTACTCCTGTTACTATTTAGTTTCATCATTTTGTATTATATTTTAGTGGCTATTCTAGATTACAATATGCATAATTAATGCATCACCCTTTACTATGGGTAGCTATTACACAACTTCATGAGACATTAAACATCCTTCAACAGTGTCATTTTGTTTACTCCACCTGATTTTTATATTATTATTGTTATTTTATTTCTCCATGTATTATAATTCCATAGTATGTCACTCTATTTGCTTCAAATAGCCAATTGTCTTTTTAAAGAGATTTAAAACAATGTGGTTTTATATCTCCCTTGATACTTAACCCGCTGATCATTCCTTTCTGCCGATCTTCGTTTTTCTCTGTGGTCATTTCCCTTCGGTCTAGAGAACTTCCTTTAATATTTTCCTGTAATGCAGCATGAATGTGCTCAGGTTGGTTGTTTGGAAATGCCTTTATTTCACTTCTACTTTTTAGGAATATTTTCTTTGAATATAGGTGTCTAGGTTGCCAGTTTGTGTGTGTGTGTGTGTGTGTGCGTGTGTGTGTGTGTGTGCATGTGTGTGCGTGTGCGTGTTTTTCTTTCAGCTCTTGAAACATGTCATTCCATTGTCTTTATCTTTTTACTCTGGTTTTCAGCAGTTTTCCCAATGGTGATTTTCTGTTTTCCTGCTTGGGGCTTCACTGTGTCAGATTAATATCTTTTCAGCCATCTTTGAAACCCTCATCTAATATCTTTTCCAACAATTATACTCTATTCTTTCTTTTCTTTTCAGGCTACAACTACATGTGTGTCAGACCATTTGAAGTTATGCCATAGTACTCTGATTTTCAGGGTGTGCTTTTTTATTATCGATTTTTTTCCCTCTGTGCTTTATTTTGGATATTTTTTATTCCTTATCTTAGGGTTTACCAGCCTTTTCTATCTTGTCCGCCTAGCCATTAAGCCCCTCCACTGAATTCATATTGTACTTATCAGTTCTACAATTTCTATTTGCTGCTGTTTTAGAGCTTCTATTACTCTGGTGGGTTCTTCATCTTCTCACCCATTTTGTACATTTTACCTTAAATTCTTTAGCATCTTCATAATAGTTTTTTTAAATTTTTTTAATGTTTACTTATTTTTGAGAGAGAGAGAACATGCACATGTGCAAGCAGGGGAAGGGCAGAGAGAGAGGGAGACACAGAATCCAAAGCAGGCTCCAGGCTTCTGAGCTGTCAGCACAGAGCCTAACATGGGGCTTGAACTCACAAACCATGAGATCATGACCTGAGCCGAAATCAGAAACTTAACTGACTGACCCACCCAGGTGCCCCCATTATAGTTGTTTTTGGGTCCTGTTAATTCCAACCATTTTGTTACCTGTTGTTCTCCTTTTATTCTTTTTGTTTCTTCTTAGTTATGGGTCACATTTTTCCTGATTTTTCATGTGTCTCACTCTTCATACTGTATATAAAAGAACAAAGAAGCCACAGTAGGTAGTATGCATCCTCAGCAAGCCTTGTCCTTGTCCTTTCCCCTGTCAGGCAGCAACGGTGACTAGGCCAGATCTCTTCATTCTTTTTTTTTTTTTTTTTTTTTTACAAATAGTTTATTGTCAAGTTGGTTTCAGATCTCTTCATTCTAATCAGGAGTTGAACTACATTTCACATCTTCCATCCCCTTAGTGGTGAGATCTGGCCCCGCAGCACACTTTGGGATCTATGCACGTGAGATGCAGTCTCTCTAATTTACCCCAGTTGCCAGCTTCTTCCACCACCAGTGGCTGCCATGCAAAAGTATTAGGAAGGAGCATTGGCTGGCAGTGAGGGCTCGCTAGCCATCCCCCACTTTCCAGTCCTCTACACCTACCAGTGCTTGGCTGAGAAAAGTTTGGCTTATTCCTTATTCCAGCAAGATTTTCTTACCAAAAGCAGGCCAGTTCATCTGGCCACTCATCACCAGTGGGGAAAGTATCTATCAATGCCTGTCCACCTCAGAAGGGCTTATCTCCCTGTGGAGACAGACTTCTGTTCAATTAGACATGTGTCCACATCTCCTCAATATCTTGTACAACAAATAAGATCTCTAAATTTATTGTTTTTTCATCACTACAGTGGGGCCGATCGTTTTCTGTGACCTTTTGGCTCCTAACCAGAAGTAGAAAAATCTTCTGCAATTTATTTACATTTGGTTTCATCTTTAAAGGCCTTTTTAAAAACTTGTTTTTTTTTTTTTAAGTAAGCTGTTTATTTTTATTCTAGCACCAAGTCCTCCTAGGTTAATTTGGAATAAAGCTCCATTTAAAAGATCAAAAGTAAAACCTGGCTAAGGGTGTAAGTTTTCTCATTCAGCTTTTCATTTTTTCAGTCATTTATTTAATTGGCAAACATTGATGGAGCACCAGCCAACACTGTACAGAGCCATGTGCACAACACTGGTGGGACGCAAACAGGTGACTAACACAGATGCTGCCATAAGTGAGTGGCTTAGGTCCAACCTAAGTGCACTTTAACTGTCATCCCTTAGGAGATCCCAAGATATCCAGGAACAGACTCTAGGTTTCTTGTATTACATGTCTCTTTTTGTAATTTCTTCTGCTTTCAGATTTCAAAATCAACGTGTGCATACTTACACTATAATATGATTTAAATGGGCTGTCTTTGTGTAATAAACTTAAGAACTTCTGATGAACAGTTAGGGTTTGATCACTGAAAACTATAAAATACTTTGTAAATTATAGGTCACAGAGAACTGTTTCCTAATTATTCAGTTATAATTAGTATTTATTGATTATATTCTGTGTTAGCTCCCTATTACTGGCATAATAAATTACCACAAACATAGCAGCTTAAAACAGTGTCCTTTCTTATTTTATAGTTCGAGAGGTCAGAAATACAGAATCAGTCAGAGATTGGGCTAAAACAGAGGTGTCCATGGGGCCGGTTCCCCTGGCGGCTCAAGGCGGGGAGCAGGGGGCGGGGGAATGTTTCCTTGCCTGTGAAAGTGTGTCAGGCTGTTCTCATTCTTGCATCATGGCTGCCTCCCACATTGCTTTTCCCCTCCCCTTCCCTCTCTGGTCACATCATCTCTGAAATTTTATCTTACAAGAAAAGAAAAGGACCCTTGTGATTACATGGGGTCCACCAAGATCATTCAAGGTAATCAGCACACTCCAAGATCCTTTCTTAATCACATCTGTTCTCTTTTTTTATGTTTGTTTGTTTATTTTGAGAGAGACAGAGTACACTTAGGGGAAGGGCAGACAGAGAGGGAGAAAGAGAATCCCAAATATGCTTTCCACTGTCAGTGCAGAGCCGGATGTGGGACTCGAACCCCAGAACTGTGAAATCATGACCTGAGCCAAAATCAAGAGTCAGATGCTTAACCAACTGAGCTACCCAGGAGCCCCTGTTAAGTTCTTTTTGAATGTAAGGTAACATGTTCATGGGTTCCAGGGCTTGGGACATGGGCTTCTTCATTATTCAACGTGCCATGTATACCTTTATATATTTCATTTTCATCATGGCAGGTATAATAGAGCAGATTTTGTGTTTAGATATGAGTGATACAGACAGTACCAGAGTGTTAGCAGTTTTTATCTATTGGTGTGGAACAGTCATGTTTATTATGAGAGGAATGAGACTCATTTTGTCACTTAATACTGTTGGCCTGTCTTAAGAATTATATTTAACATGATCATAATACTATGCAAGACTCTTCCCCCTGAGGGGAGGGGAGGAAACGTGGGAAGAAGTTCTGCTGGCAGCTGTTGAGTGTGTTGCTTTTCTGGCTGGGAAATCTGGGAGCCATTTGGGAATTGTATTGTGCAGGGCTGGCAGGAGGCAGAAATTCCTTTTCTTTCATCTCCCTTCAGGCCATCCAACTTTACGGTTTAGGCTCTCAGCTTCTCTGGCATCTCCCTCCACATAGTGTCCATGGTCTTATAAATCCATCTATCCATCTCACCATGATGGCTCTCTTGTAGCGGCTAGCGGTGGTCTGATTTGTATAACCCAAGGCCCTCAGTACCACTCTTTCCTGAATACCTTCACACCATTGTGCGTGTCTAGTAAGTAAGAAACTCAGCTTATAATGTGATTTTGATTTTCAGTTTCTATTTTACATGGTTTGAGTTACATGCTTTGTCTATTGTAGCTCTCTTTCCCCAATCTGGATCAGTGCTTGAAGTACGTGGACAAACAAGCTGGTGGTTTTATCATACAACCGTCATCTCATTCTGTACAGGAGATCTCTGTCCCGTGCTCCAGCACCCCTTGTCGTGCCAACTCTGGCATTTGGGTGCTCGTTGTGTGTACACCTGCCAACACCTCTGGGTGAAATTTGCTGTTTTCAGTACACTGAGCAAAAAAGTCAGCAAGCCGAGTTTTGTTCATCCTTTGAGTATTCTTCAGACAGCGCTAAATTATGAATTCAGTATTTAGTTCTCTGCAGAATAATTCTTTTTATTGAAA